TTCCCCAGCGCTGTTCCCATCCCCCAATTCCCCAATAAAAAAAAAATTCTTAAAAAAAAAAAAAAAAGACGCCTTATATATGGACACACACTGTATTAGTTTTGCCCTCCTAATTCAATGGTAACTTTGATTTAGTTTATTAATGATAAAGCAACTCCAGAATATAAAAGTTATGACATTCTCCAAGAACATAAAGACATTAATCTAGTTGCTGGTATGATATCATTCCCCTCTAATATCCCTAAAATTGAGAAATGAATAATTTAACATGGAAAAAGACCAAGGGGGAAAAAAAAAGCAAAGATCAACATGCCCAACCCTCCCCAAAGTAACAATTCACTTGATTTAAAAAAAAAAAAGAGTGCAAGCTGAAAACAAGCACCCCATCACAAATTTCTAATGGAAACAAAGTATCAGAATTCTAATTCTGGTAGATACTAAGAGAATAAATATTCTCCCTCTCTCATTTTACAATTTGAGAAACTGAGGCCCAGTGCCATAACTTATCCCTAGATCAAACAATTAATTAGGGTTTGGGTTAGAACCATAACTCAGGTCTCCTAAACTCCAGTCCAGTATTCTTTCCCCTATACCCTGCCACAACTCAAGAGGAAAGAAAATAAGAAAAGAAAGTAAAGCAGTGTTGCAGACTCTGGTCACTGGCTAGCCCAACACCTACTGCCAAGCCTCTGCTTTCTCACGGGCATCCGTTAAAGAGGCTGGAAAGGTTTTCTCCCCCAGCCTCCTCTGTAGCGAAAGGTGGCCAGTGAATAGCTCTGGCCAATGAGACGGAAGCAGAACGCAGTTGGGTGTTTCTAGTAAAGTTTTGCTTTCCTGACAAAGAGACAAATGGAGCTGACACCACCCTTTCCCCTCCTTCATATATAAAGCTAGAACAGTCATCTTACAACTGTGGTGTCATCTCTGAGACAAAGAGCCAATATGCTAAGGTCCGTGAACTAGAGAGGTACTAGAAGCCTGAGTCTTTGAGGACATCACTAAACAGCTGACCCGATACCAACCTCTAGACTGCTTCTGTGAAAAAGTAAACCCCAGTTTGTTTAAGCCACTGTTAGACTTCCTCTTTCTTAGAGTCATTTCTAACTAATATGATCAGTATTTCCCAACTACTTGGAATATAAATAGGCATTATTTGAAAAGAGGTTTCTAGTTAAATATGGGTCAAATATAAGTTAAATAAAATTAAATAGGAAAAGGATTTGGGGAAGACAGTGGAAGCAGCAACATAGGTTTTCAATCTCTGAATCCTCATAAAACACACAGGGCAGCCAGCCATGTAGCAAAACCAAAAACTCATGTATCAATTACAACAAAACTAGGTGACAGGATATCCCCATGAATCCAAAATGCAAGCAGGAGAGGACAAACCACCCACAGTCAAAAGACCTGCATGGTATGAACATTTGTACATAAGAAAGGAGGAGCAACGAGGTGGCACCTGAGGAATGTGCCAACTGGACAACCTCAAGACAGCCAGTACGTAGTCACTGGAAAGTCCAGAGGCCCAATTTGAGACCCACAGCTAAAACTGTAAGTTTTGTCCTCTCTAATACAGGGCTCACATAAGAAGAATTGAAACAGCTGGAGTAATCCAGCCCTGGAGTCTCAAAACCGACCTGCCAAGCTCCCTTCTAGGAAAGGGAGAAGAAACTGTTGGGAATAGAATAGAAATTGAGCAGGAGAGACACCTGAAATTAATATTGTATGTCAATTGTAAGTGAAAAATTAAAAAATTGAGCAGGAGAGGGAATAGATTCAAGCAAAGAAAGGGTCAGACCAAGAATGGTAGGGGACCAGAACAAGGATATCCTAAAGAACAAGCCACAGTATTTGTGAACACTACAAAAATGACATAAGAAGGAAAGCTTAATTGAACCTCGCCTTACTCTAAAAATTCAGAAAAATTACTTTCACATAAAATGAGCAACAGAAAAGTACTGAGGTCAAATCCTATACAAACATTTTGTATGAGAAAAAAAAGGAGCAGGATAACATGCCTACAGACAAAAAGTATGCCAGAAAAATGTGCCTGCAAAACAACAACAAAAACCCCTGTAACCTATATCTCAAAAATAAGCTAGAAGACTTTAAGAAAATAAATCCACACCCAGACATATCATACTAAAACTTCGAAAAATAAGACAAGTAATGAATCTTCAAAAGAGCAGTAATTAGACTAACAGCTTATAAGTGAAAGACATAAGACAAATATCTTCAAAGTACTGGGGGAAAAACTGGCAACCTAGACTTCTACACCTAGTGAGATATCCTTCAAAAATGAAAGTGAAATAAAACATTTTTAGACAAAATCTGAGAGAATTCATCACAAGCAGATCTACATTAAATAAAATACTCAGGGATGTTCTAATGATAGAAGGAAAATAATCACAGATGGAAACCTGAAGCTGCAGAAAGAAAGAAAGAGCAAAAAAAGGGTAAACGTGAATAATCTAAATGAACGTTTGCTGTATAAAATGAAATAATGTTTTATAGATTTTAAAATATTAAAATACTTTACAACAAGGGCAAATATTAATAAGTAGGGAGGAGGATAGGCAGAGTTAAAGTGCTCTAAGGACCCTGCCACATTCAGGAAAAGGGCAAAAGGACCAATTAACATTAGACTCAAATAAATTAAAGATACACAGTAGTCCCCCCTTATCTGGAAGAGATATACTTCTGTGGATCCTTAATCCGCAGAGAGTACTAAATCCTGTATATATATTTTTTTCCTATACATACATAAGTATGATAAAGTTTAATTTATAAATTAGGCATAGTAAGAGATTAACAACAGTAACTAATAATAAAATAGAACTATAATATACTGTAATAAATGTTATGTGAATGTGGTCTCTCAGCAAACTAATACAAATTTCTTCTTCCTTCTTCACAATTTCATGGATAGAAGATTTGTTCTCACTGCAGATCTTGGCAACCTCAGCATATGATTTTTTTTCTTATTATTAAGTAGAGAACTTTCACCTTTTCACTTAAAGGAAGTACTTTATGGCTTCTCTTTGGCATATCCAATTGCCAGCATCACTACTCTCACACTTTGGGGCAATTATTAAGTAAATCAGGGGTTGGGCTGGCCGGGTGGCACAGCTGGTTAGAGCGCAAGTTCTGAGCAACGAGGTTGCTGGTTCGATTCCCACATGGGCCAGGGAGCTGTACCCGAGCTGAGCTGCCAACAGGTGGCTGGATGGCTCAGCTGTACAAGGTTGCCAGTTCAAGTCCCACATGGGATGGTGGGCTGCGCCCCCTGCAACTAAGATTGAACACGGCACCTTGAGCTGAGCAGCCACTCAGCTGGTGAGAGCGCGTGCTCTTAACAACAAGGTTGCCGGTTCGACTCCTGCATGGGATGGTGTACTAGCCATCCCCCCACCCCCAACTAGATTGAAAGCAGCGACTGGACTTGGAGCAGAGCTGCGCCCTCCATAACTAAGAGTGAAGGACAGCAACTTGACTTGGAGCTGATGGATCCTGGAAAAACACAATGTTCTCTTTCCCCAATCCCCCAACACTGTTCCCTTCCCCAATTCCCCAACAAAATCTTTAAATAAATAAATTAACTAATTAAGGATGACTTGAACACAAGCATTGTAATACCACAAAAGTTGATCTGATAACTGAGACAGCTGCTGCTAAGTGACTGACGGGCAGGCAGTACATGAATACTCTGGGATGGTTCATGTCCCTGGTAGGGCAGAGTGGGACGGTGTGAGATTTCATCACAATACTTAGAAGGATGAGCATATTTAAACTTATGGATTTTTTATTTCTGGGATTTTCCATTTAATATTTTCATACCACAGTTGATTATGGGTAACTGAAACTGCAAAAGCAAAACCACATATTAGGGCACTATCGTATATTATATTCTCTAGGGCAGTCAGTAAAAGAAGAGTATATAACTCCTAAGTTAACGGGGGGGGGGGGGGAATAAATATTCAACTCAATAAAAAAATTAAAAAAAGACAGACTTCCAATAAATGGCAAACTAGGTAATTCAGATCAATTCTACAACTGAGAACCAGAAAGGCAGGACAAAAAAAATATTTGAAGGCACTGAAGAACTCCCAAGGCAGAGAAAGGCAGGGCCAAGGTGCAGGAGCAGAAGGAAAAGCAGAGGTGACTTAGGCCAGACACCTGAAGCTGGGATGGGCTGGTGCCACACTGGGAGCTTCACACAAAGGAGATGGGAACAACAAGGCCCCCTGCAAGGTATATAAAGAAAAGATTTTAGAGAACACACACACACAGGCCAAATTTGCTTGAGAGACCGTGACTAAAATGTTCCAGATTAGGAAAGCCAGACTCAGAAAACTAAAACAGGAAAGGTTGTAGTAAAGGGGAGAGGGGAGGGGCTGAGATCTGGTAATGTTCACTTTTGAAAACATGCTTGCATTTTCAATGATTGTCAATTCATCCTCTGAAGCATAGGCTATAATGGCCCCTTCTCTCCATCCCCACTATGTCCTGCACAGTGTCCCTGACCCCCGGGGCTCTTCCTTACAGTCCACTCTGGGCACTGTGGCTAAAGCTATCAACCAAAACCCGAGAAGCGGTGGGAGGCGGCTTGTACAAAGTGAAGCTATGGCAGAGGGACTTGATTATCTTGACTAAAATGTCATTCTTATTGCCAATGCCAACTTTTTCCTCAGGTTCTGCCCTAGATTATGTCAATTTGTCCTTCTTGCCAGTGCCCTGAAAAAGCTTCTTTACTTCTTCTAGGTAAATACTTTTTTCCCCAGAGGACCTTAGCTGTCCTGGTTTACTAATGATTCCTTCACAGACTCATTCAGTCAAACTAATATGTTAAATTACCATTCTATTATAGGCCTGCTGGAGGCTGGGAGAGGGGCAGGGGAGGAATGGCATACATGCCATAATAAAGGTTATATAAGGGCTTAATACAAAACCAAAACCCAGAATGAACTCAGCAGAATTTCGATGTTCTGAGCTAATACTACCTGGCTTTCGAGGGAAATACTCTTCCAAAAGTCTTTCGAATCCACAAGTACAAGAACTTTCTGGCCACACATCTGAAAGAAGGAAAGAAAAGATATACACATTTTAAAACTCCATTTGGCTAATGTCATCAGTTTTCTAGAAAGGAGAGGGAAACTTTAAGCTCCTGGGGGAAGAGATGCTAGTATGAGTCAAAAGGTGAATCATTGCTAATCTTGCATTGAACAGAGCATAGGATGGGAGAGTGCAATAAAGTTAAAATCAAGCAGATTATTTTTTTTTGAAATATTTTTAGTATCAAGTATTTTGTAATGGAAGACTTCAGAGCTGAGGAAAAGGAAGTAAATAATAGTGCTTTTGTTTGTATTATTCTTCCTGCCTAAAATGCCTGGCAAATGCCTACTTACCCAAAAAGCTTCATCTCCAATGTTTGCTCCTATGTGAAGCCTTCCTGGACCTTCCCCAACCCAAAGAGAGTGAGTAGCTTTGTACTCTCACCATTCTGCCCCAACCCCTAGTGTAATATTATGACACCAAATCACAGCTATGGCTCGCAGGGTGCCTGTTGTTCCCTCTGCACCGTGAGCCCGAGAGCAAGGACCATATTTTACAGTATCCCCCGTACTTAGCACAGTCTTGGTACACTCAAAAATGTTGGCTTGTCTTGGTCAGTTAATCTCCAGGGTTGGCTTACATTGCTCTTCTTCCTCCTGCCCTTTATTCTTACATTATCCTTCAGGACTCGGCTTAAACTCCCTTTCCTCCAGGAAGTTGCTGCTGGCTACACTAACATAGCTGTCCTTGCCACATGGGCCTGTGTAAACACATTCTCTCCTTTCATTGCACTTATCATGCTTTGTTGTTGTGGCTTGTTTAACAGTCTGTCAAGCCTATCTGATTTTAAGCTTTCGTGAGGTCAGGGACCAAGAATCCTATTCACCTGTACGCTCAGTACCTAGCATGACACCTGGCCAAGTAGGCACATGGTAAATTTTGTTGAATGCATAAACAGATGCCTTTGATAGACCTAATCAAGAGTAAAAGAAAATGAGAGGCCAGCCAAGTGGCTCAGTTGGTTAAGAGCTCACTCAAGAGTGTGAGCTCTGAGCAACAGGGTTGCCGGTTCGATTCCCGGCCTGAGCTGAGCTTCCAAGAGGTGGAAGGATGGCTCAGCTAAAAAAAAAAGTAATAGAAAATGATAATTTTTCTTGGACCATGTTTAGACTTTTTATGGAAGACTCTTTATAGCTTATACATTGTGGGGTACAACTAAAGAACGTGAAGGAAAACACTCAATGACAGATTTTATGTCTGCAGAGTCCTAAATATCCTTTTCTTCTAAACATTCTGCCATAAAGAGCAGTTATCAAGGTCCCCAGTTAGCTGACATAGGACACTAAGATCATCTCCTCATTTTAACCAAGAAAGGAGAACAATGGAAACGTCACTGCAGGCAGGTGACCACTCGCAAGCTCACCTGGTGTGCAATTCTCTTAACCGACCCCTTTGGGTCCGAGCGCATGAGGCACGATACTGACTGGCATGAGGTATCTCACTCCGGATTCCAGAGAAGGCAGAAGACTTCTTGTTGGACAGTATCTTTGGAGAACAAAGTTTCTTACCTGTACCATCCCTGAAAGACCTTAAATTTGAGGAGTAAGGGGGAAAGGACAGAATCAAATCTCTGCATGTGATGCAAATACCTTTTAATATACAAGCGAAATTAAACAGATAAGCTCAGAGACAGTCTGATTAATAACTATGCTTCAAAAACAATTAGCAGCCCAATCTCTGACAAAAATAACTGCCAGCCACAGGAGGTGGGCACTGCTGAGTCGGCTCTAGGTAGGCACTATGGAGCTAATGGGTACCCTGGAGTCATTAGTCCTAACCTTTTTTTTTAAAAGATTTTTATTGGGGTATTGGGGGGAAGGGAACAGTGCTGGGGAATTGGGGGAAGGGAACAGACAAGTTGCTGTCATTTTGTTCTTCAGTCTAGTTGTGGAGGACGTTGCTTCACTGGCCCAAGTTGGCACCATCATTGCGCTCTTCCTGGGCGAGGCAGATCAGTCGCTGGCTTCTGGACGGCTGCTCACTGTGGCTGCTGGCCGCTCACGCTGGCTGCTGGCTACACACGGTAGCCCATGGCAACCCACTGCCACAGGGGCTGCAGCTCACGCCATCGCCGGCGACTCATGGCAGCCCAGCTCCAGGTTGAGCTGTTGTTCAGCATCTTAGCTGTGGAGGGCAGTGTCACTGGCCCTCATATGTGGGATCCAAACCGGGGCCCTCAGGCGTCCCAAGCCAGTTCTTAACCATCGCGCCACTCGGCCGGCCCAGTCCTAACCTTTTAATGTATTATTTTAAGGGTGATTGTTTACAAATTAGAAACAGATTCCCTTATATAAAAAACAATTAGGAATGATTTTCAGATAATGTGACTTTTATATCAATATGAAACCACATACTTTTACTAAACACTAAATTTCTGATTTTTAATCCCATTTTAGAAACATTAAGAAATCATATTGGGATGCACTCATGATTTAAAAAAAATGTATGGCAGAGCTCTGCCTGCAAGAAATACCTAGAAGCAGTGACATCCCATTAGCAATGAGCATACCTAGGGCTTAGATATTGTTTTGTTTTGGTTTTTTTAGCTGAGCCATCCTGCTACCTGTTGGCAGCTCAGCGGCTGCTCAGCTTGGGCTGGACTCGAACTGCTGTTGCTCAGAGCTCAAACTCTTGAGCGAGCTCTTAACCAACTGAGCCACTTGGCCAGCCCTCTAGATATTGTTTATAAAGTACCATTCCCTAAAAGGAATCAGGGCTCCTTGAAAAAATGGCTGATTTTTCAGGTCTGGGACAAGGAAAATACAAGATAAGCCTGAACTATCTTTTTGGGTCAGAAAATAAAGAAGTGTTCAAGAATGATGGGGGTATGTCAAAAGGACACAGGAGCCAGCTTTGAAGGGCTCCCACTGGCCAAATCTGGGACAACTTGAATAGTAATAGATGAAAACCCACTAAATAAAATAAGAATCCATAAATCCATACTGATGTAAACACATATATACATACATGTGGGAGAATGGAAAGCTCTACCTTGCAGTAGAATGCCAAATAATAAACTTAGAAGGAATGAGAAAATCTGAAAAGCATCATTTAGGAATAATTGATTCAGACAAGAATCATCAAGGGGTGGCCGGTTAGCTCAGTTGGTTAGAGCGCAGTGCTCATAACACCAAGGTTGCCAGTTCGATCCCCGCATGGGCCACTGAGCTGCACCCTCAACTAGTTTGAAACGACTACTTGACTTGGAGCTGCTGGGTCCTGGAAAAACACACTGTTCCCTTCCCCCCAAAGAAAATCATCAATGGATGCAAAAATAAGGGGGTGCTAGTTCAATGAGGGACACGATATTAATGTAAAAATATCTCCCCACAAAATACTTATTCATTACTTTATTGCGGAGAAACCTTGCAGACAACATCTTAACCAAGTGATAAAAGTTAACATCAATGGAAATGGGACCAAATCAACATGATGTGTCTCCTGATATTGATGCACTGAGAACACGGCATCACTTCTGTGATATTCCTGCCAAAAATGCATAACCTGAATTTCACTAACCTTGAAAAAACATTAAACAAACCTAAAATGAGACATATTCATTAAAGGTTAAGTGGTCTGAACTCTTCAAAACTGAGGTCATGGAAAATAAGAAAAGACTGAGAAAAAGTTTCATATTAAAGGAGAGCAAAACAACAAAATGCAATATGTGATCCTGGACCTGAAAGGACATAAATAAAAAGGGAAGTGTTTCTTATATTTTGTTTTTTTTGTTATAAATAACACTTTTGAGACAGCTGGTCTCAACTTACTCTGAAATGATTCTGGGACAAAAATATAAAGATATAGATACCCAGGAAGAGCGCAATGATAGTGCCAGCACGGGCCGGTGAGGTGACATCCTCCACGGCTGGACTGAGGAACAGGGGGACCAGCGACTTGTCTGTTCCCCTTCCCCAATTCCCCAATAAAATCTTTAAAAAAACAAAACAAAAAACATAGTAATACAATTACTATTTTTTAATGTCAATAGGAAGAGTATGATTAACCAAGAAATACAGAAAGGTGAAAGTGAGAATTTGAAAATGTTCATCCAGGGTGGCTGGGTAGCTCAGTTGGTTAGAGTACATGCTCTGAGCAACAAGATTACGGGTTCGATTTCCACATGGCCAGTGAGCTGCGCCCTCTGCAACTAGATTGAAGACAACAACTTGAACTAAGCTGCTGCTGAGCTGCAGGTGGGCAGCCAGATGGCTCAGTTGGTTAGAGGGCGTGCTCTTAACAACAAGGTTGCCAGTTCGACTCCCGCATGGGATGGTGGGCTACACCCCCCGCAACTAGACTGAAAACGGCAACTAGACTTGGAGCTGAGCTGTGCCCTCCACAACTAAGATTGAAGGACCACAACTTGACCTGGAGCTCATGGGTCCTGGGAAAAACACACTGTTACCCAATAAAGTTAACAAAAAAATGTTAATCCAAAAGTGTCTAGAGAAAGGCATGCCCTATATCCTCTAGTTTATCCACTCAGTATTGAGAACCTACAATAAAGGTAGGCCTGGGGATAGAAAGACAAATATGTATTTAATATTAAGATGTCGTACAATGAGCAAATGAGATGTTGATAGCCTACAGCAAGTACAGGACACTGACACACATCCAATATCAATGGACATAATGTTTGGCTGGGCACATGGCTGCTCTGAATAAAGACTACATTTCTCAGGCACCCTGGTACTAATTTCCGAAATTAAGTTCTGACTTAGGTAATGTAGGTAGGGTCCCAGGTGCTGGCTTCCTGTAATCTGCCTTAACAGCCAGCCAATGCACACTTTTTCTTATCTTCCTCCACTATGCTGCCTAGAATGGCTGTGAACTTGGAATGAAAGGATAAGGACCACATCCTAGAGATTGAGGATCTTACTGGACCAAAACATCATAACAGCTCTGGGCCATTTACCTCCAGACTTCCTGTAGTAACTTCTATCTTATTTAAAATCTGTTACTTTGGATTTTCTGAACCTAATCCAAACTAACAAAGCAGGATAACTGCAAGCAGAGCATGAGGCATGGGGTGGTAAGAAATGAGTCTGGGGTCGGCTGAGTGGCTCAGCTGGTTAAGAGCTCGCTTGGGGGCACCAGCTCTGTGCAGCAGGGCCCGGGTTTGGATCCCACATGAGGGCCAGTGACACTGCCCTCTACAGCTAAGATGATGAACAACAGCTTGACCTGGAGCTGGGCTGCTGTGAGTTGACGGCAACGGCGTAGGCTGCAGCGGGGCTGCAGTGGGCTGCCATGAGTTACGTGAGTGGCTGGTAGCCAGCCAGCGTGAGCGGCCGGCAGCCGGTGTGAGCTGCCGGGAGCCCCTGTGAGCAGCCGACTAATGACCAGCGACCGATTGCCTCACCCGGGAAAAGCACAATGATCATACCAACATGGGCCAGTGAAGCAACGTCCTCCACAACTAGACTGAAGAACAAAAGCAGCAATTTGTCTACCTGTCTGTTCCCCTCCCCCCAATTCCCCAATAAAATCCTAAAAAAAAAGAAATGAGTCTGGAGGGGCCGGCCGAACGGCGAATTGGTTAAGAGTTGGCTTGGGACGCCAGCTCTGAGCAGCAGGGCCCCGGTTTGGATCCCACATGAGGGTCAGTGATGCTATGCCCTCTACAGCTAAGATGGTGAAAAACAGCTCGACCTGGAGCTGGGCTGCCGCGAGTTGCCGGCAACGGTGCAGGCTGCAGTGAGGCTGGCCGGCAGCGAGCATGAGCTTTTGTGAGCTGCCGTGAGCCGCTGTGAGCGGCTGTCCAATGGTTGGCGAGCCACTGCCTCACCCGGGAAGAGCACAATGATAATACCAACATGGGCCAGTGAAGCGATGTCCTCACTGACGTCTTACAACTAGACTGAAGAACAAAAGGACAGCAACTTTTCTGTTCCCCTTTCCTGATTCCCCAATAAAATCTTTGAAAAAAAATAAATTAAAAAAAAGAAATGAGGCTGGAAATGAGCTGTGGAGAGGCCTTGAAGGCAAAGCTCCTTGGCTGGACTGGAGCCCAAAGGCAACAATAGTCACTGAAAAGTAACTCTAAGTGACTTCTAAGTAGAAAGGGGGTGACACAGTCAGATTCACATTTTGGTATGTCATTCTAGTAGTAATCATGAAGATGATGTATCAATTATGTTCCCAAACTTTGATTTCAAAATTTTAAGAAATCTTCTGAATTTAACATGACTTCCTGCAGCAATTGCCTTATGGGAGAGAGGTGGCATAACTTGGTTTCCCTGGCAATTATATTTCTTGTTATAAATAAACTGGTACTTTATAAAATTGGAATGATTCAAAGCAATTGGTACTCTGGTTTGTACATCAGATTAGTAAGTACAAGTCCACCTCCAAAAGACTCAGGGACCATTCACAAAATTGAGGGTGTGGGTGAACTGTAAGTATTGCAGCCCAGTGGGAATTTAATCTGGGTTCTACCAAGGTCAGGGAATTGCAAGCCTTAAAGCTGGTTTAAGGTGTCAACTATAATTGAGAAATTAAAAAAGGGAGAAAAACGGTGACGGTGAATAAGGTTCAAATTTTCAGGCAGAAAACAAATACATCAGGGGGATGTAATGTACAGCATAAGGAATATAGTCAATAATGTTGTGTTAGCATAGTATGATATCAGATGGTTGCTGGACTTATGGTGATCACTTCTTTAAGTATATGAGTGTTGAATAACTATGGTGTACACCTGAAACTATAATATTGTATGTTAGCTATATTTTAATAAAAATCTTTAAAAATAAACAAATAATGAAAAAAAGTTCTGATTTAAGGTGATTCCAAACTAGTAGCGTACCAAGGAGACTAACAGAGGGAATTGTAAATCCTTTCTGGAGGAAGGCAACTTCATCATAAGCCTAAAGACATTCCTATACATAATTTTTAATATACAATGTCAAACACACAAAGAAGCTAGACTCTATGATTAAGAAAATTGAAACAACAGATCCAACAGCTTCATTTATTAAAGAGATAGGCATACATACATACATACATACACACACACACACACACACACTCTCTCACACTCTATTCATTCAATGAAAGTTTATTGAGCACCTATAGCTTGTGAGGCACTAAATATATAAAGATAAAAGACATTTTCTCAAGAGCTTATAGTCTATGGAGATGACAAACAATGAGAATACCAATTGTTAAATACTATGAAAGAGGTAAACATAGAGTGCTATGGGAATTGTACACAATAGGTACGTAATCCACACCGGGTTGGTCAGGGTGGTCAGAAGAGGCTTCCTGGAGATGATATGACAGTTGAGTTTGGAAATATAGGTACAAATTAGCTTACACCCCATTAATAGAAGAAAGGAGAAAAACTATATGATCGTTTCAATAGATGCAGAAAAACCATTTCACAAAAATCCAACATGAGGGGTGGCCAGGTGGCACAGCTGGTTAAGAGCACAAGCTCTGAGCAACAGGGTTGCCAGTTTGAGTGCCACACGGACCAGTGAGCTGCACCCTCTGCAACTATTGGGCTGTCGGAAAAGTCATGATGCATGTTTGCGACAGATGACACTAGTTCATTTTTGGAAGTACTAGAGTCATTTGCATCTATGTTATTGCTATGTCATTTGACAGCTGACAGTTCTAGCTTCATTGTAAAAAAAAATTGAGCAATTTGGTTGAGTTTTGCAGATTTTAAAAGTTGAAGATGAAAGACAACACTGCATTTTTGTCATATTTTACTGTTTTACTTCCATGAAGGGAAGAATGCGCACCAAGCTTGTGAAAAGTTGCATAGAGTTTACAGTAACAACGCTCTACAAGAATGTCAGGGCCAACGATGGTTCACGAAATTCCAAGCTGGTGATTTTGATCTCAGCAATGCTCTTCGGTCAGGGAGGCCCACCGAGGTTGATGACAACAAAATAAAGGCACTGATCGAGTCAAACCCACATTACACGACATGAGAGACTGCAGAAACATTGAACATCCATCATTCAAGTGTTCACGACCACCTGAAGAAGCTGGGATATGTAAGCAAGCTCGATATTTGTGTTCCACATGAACTCAAAGAAGTTCATTTGATGGCGCGTATAAACATCTGCAATATGCTCAATAAACGTGAGGAAAACAATCCTTTTTTTTTTTTTTTAAGATTTTTATTGGGGAATTGGGGGGATGGGAACAGTGCTGGGGAATTGGGGGAAGGGAAACAGACAAGTTGCTGTCGTT